TCGCGCCTGACGTGTCGCTGTGTGCATGAATATTCCCCCGTGCCCCCTCACCGCCCCGCCGCGCCCCCGCGCCAGAGGAACAACACGTTGCCGGCGAGGCGGGCGGGGCGCGCAGCCAGCGCAGCGCAAGGCGGCCAGCCCAGCGGCGACCAGCAAGCAGCAAGCGCCGAGCGGCCAATTTTTCCCGTCCGTCCGTCGCGTGGTCCGGTAGTGTAGGAGTGTGACGGCCCGGGAGCACGTCGAGCAGAGACGAGCCGAGCGGTGGCCAGCGTGCCGGTGCGACACACGCGGAGCAGACCGCCCGACGCGACGTCAACAACGCCGAGTTCCTGCTGAGCGGTGGCCAGGGGTCGACGCGCGCGCGTGCACCAGCAGACGATTAGAAAAGTTCTTCAGCTTGTGTTCGGTGAGGTGATCGGGGGTGACCCGGGAGGTGGCCCAGTGGAAAATTAGTCCCCCGCAGCAGCCTCACCGGCTGACCACCGGGGCGGCGTCTAGCGCCACCAGCACTAACCTCTGCAGCACTTCGCCGCCGTCAGTGGGATGGTGGAGGTTGTGCAGGGCCACCGAGCCATCAGCTGACAGTGACTGAGGAGACCGCGCTCGCCGAGGCCCGCGCTCAACCCCGACTGAGAGAGCCGCTCTTGCCGTCGCGGCCGAGACCTTCACCACCCCAAACACCAAGGTGAGTTACTGTCTAATGAAACTTGTGAAGAGATGGGCTAGTGTTGTAAACTGACCCTACAAGTTCAAACTTCGACGGCATGAAAATGAAAAACTCATTTCGAAGGCGTTATTTTCTAGAGTAGTTTTGATTCGAAGAGTATATGACATGCAAGTAAAAGTCAACGTATCCAAAAAGTACGTTTTCTGGCCCATGAATTAAACTAAAATGTCTAATTTATGAAAAAGATGTTTTTGAAAAATGGTACTCCGGGTATCCATCCACGCCGATCTACGCAAAATTGTTCAACCTATATTTTTCGTTACTTTTATAAGGACCG